GGACATGGCCACTGAGCTTTTGATAAGCTATCATCATGGGCCTTCACTCATTCCTTCAAGAGACACTTCACAGAGTAGACTGAGGCAATGGCTCTTTTTCAAAGAGCTCCACACAAGGTATTCTAAAGCTTTCAGTTACGCTTCCTGTTAAATATGCATTGGAAATCAAGCCTGTCTGAATCAAGGATGTGTACATTTCTCTTGTATGTTGACTTAAATACTTAAGGGCACCTGTACACAAGTGTGGCGGCTGCTCCAAAGCCAGAAATATTATGGCATGTGCTGGCAGTAAATGAAGGAAAACATACAGCAATTAGATGACAAAGGGGAAGGAAAGGGACAGATGCATTTTCTTACAATGTTTCCATTTTTATTTAAATTTGGTGTTGTCAGTAGAATGCATGGGCTGTTCTATGATCATTGTGCCTGATGAATATTCTGCACTGGTTCGGACCTGCAGAGACCAACCCAGGAAAGCCAAGGCTGCAAGTGAACTCCAACTGGCTACACGTATCAAGGACAATAAAAAGTTATTTTTTAGATATGTGGGGAACTGGAGGAAAAGCAAGGGCAACATCGGACCCCTGCTAAACCAGATGGGACAACTGATAACCGACGCCCATGAAAAAGCCAACTTGCTAAATGGGTACTTTGTGTGAGTCTTTCACCAGTCCCAAGGGATGCCCCTTGCCCATTACGGGACAGGAGGGCCTGGGTGAGTGAGATTCCTTACCCTCTATTAATGCTGACCTTGTGAAGGAACACCTTGAGAGGCTGGAAACCTTCAAGTCAGCCGGGCCTGACAGGCTACATCCCAGGGTACTCAAGGAGCTGGCAAGCATCATAGCTCAGCCCCTGGCACGGATCTTTGAGAACTCCTGGTGCTCTGGTGAAATGCCTGATGATTGGAAGAAGGCCAACGTGGTGCCTATCTTCAAGAAGGGGAGGAAAGTGGATAAAACAAACTACAGGCCCATCAACCTCACCTCTATCCTGAGGAAAGTCCAAGAAAAGATTACCAAAGAGACTATTCTCAACAGACTGGCGATGGCAAAATCCTGAGGGATAGCCAGCACAGGTTTGTTGCAGGTAAGTATTGCTTGACCAATCTTATTTCCTTTTATGACCAGGTGACCTATCACCTGGACAAGGGGAAGAGATTGATGTCATATATCTTGACTTTAAAAAAAGCCTTTGATCTGGTATCCCCATGATCACCTTTTGGCAAAACTGGCCAACTGTGGCCTTGGCTTTTCCATGATCCACTGGCTGGGGAATTGGCTATGTGGTTGGACCCAGAGGGTGGTGGTTGATGGAAGTCAATCGTCATGGTGTCCTGGGACCAGTGGGGTCCCTCAAGACTCTGTCCTTGGGCCTGTATTGTTCAACATCTTCATTAATGATGTGGAGATTGGCATCAGAAGTGGACTGGCCAAGTTCACCGACAACGCCAAACTCTGGGGTAAAGCGTCCACACCTGAGGACAGGAAGGTTATCCAGGTTGACCTCGACAGGCTGAAGAAATGGGCAGATGAGAACCTGATGGCATTTAACACTGAAAAATGCAAGGTTCTCCACTGCGGAAGGAAAAACCCGCAGCATGCTTATAGGCTCCGCCTTGCTACACTGGCTAGCACTTCAGATAAAAGGGACTTGGGGGTCATGATTGACCACAAAATGAACATGAGCCTTCAATGTGATCCTGCAGCTAGTAAAGCGAGCAAAACACTAGCTTGCATCCATAGATGCTTTTCGAGCAAATACGAAGATGCCATTCTCCCATTGTACCTGGCTCTAGTGAGGCCGCAACTGGAGTACTGTGTCCAGTTTTGGGCTCCACAATTCAAAAAGGACATGGAGAAGCTTGAGAAAGTCCAGAGGAGAGCAACGCACATCACAGGTCAGGAAAACAGACTTTATGATGAAAGGCTGAGAGCTATGGAGCTCTTCAGCCTGGAAAAGCGCAGGGTCAGGGGTGACCTGGTGGCCACCTATAAGTTTATCAGGGGTGCTCACCAGGATCTGGAAGAATGTCTGTTCACCACAGCACCCCAAGGGATGACGAGATCGAACCGTTATAAACTACTGCAAGACCGTTTCAGGCTGGATATAAGGAAGAACTTCTTTACTGTCCGAGCCCCCAAGGTTTGGAATAGACTGCCGGCAGAGGTAGTTCAAGCACCTACTGTGAACATCTTCAAGAGACATTTGGATGTCTGTCTTGCTGGGAACCTATGACCCCAGCTGACTTCCTGCCCTTTGGGCAGGGGGCTGGACTCAATCATCTTCCGAGGTCCCTTCCAGCCCTAATGTCTATGAAATCTATGAACTTCTTCATTGACCATCAAGGCTAGAACTGTAACTAGAAGGTTTTGTGCCCTTGGCAAAACCCCGGTGGAGGAGTGCAGTCGGGGAGCAGGAGGGAGGGTTCAGTGTTACCTTTCCTAGGGACTGAAGGTCCCCAGCCTCTTCTGGCATAGAATGGTTTGCCTGGCTCCAGTTGCTGCTGCTGCTACAACAGCAGTGTAGAGTGCCTGCATCCAGATGCTGCTATAGCACTGTAGACTCCCCAGGGAGCTGCCATCTGATGCCCCCTCTAATGGTGCCTGGGACACTTACCCCCCCCCCCCCCATTTCACACTACTGATTAAGGCAGCCTCTTTGCTGAGATTGGTGCTTGCACCTCTGGAAGCCTATAGTAGTTGTCATGGAGGCAAATTTCTTTCATCCCTTGAAGCACCAGCAGCATGGGCAAAATAGTATTAGGATTATATCTGACTGCCCAGGTACCTCTTTACTATTTACCAGCTACATTCATTCCCCTCACCCCCACCCCCCGCCTGTCTCTCACCCAGTGACTCCTCAATTTACATCTTCACTGACTGGCTTTCTTGCACGCATACCAGCCTCTGGCTTCTTCACTATTCATTACATCCAGGAAGACCACACACCAACTGCAGATGCTTCCTCAGCTTGATGAAGGGTATTTATACCCGAAAGCTTGCAAAAAAGATTTTTTCCAACTATTTGAGTTGGTTTAATAAAAGATATCAGATTTACCCAAAGAACCTTGTCTGCCTGTGTCCTTAGGCTAAAACGGCTACAACCTATACCCCTGAGGACTATATCAAGGCATTGAGTGTTTTTACGGAATAAATGGGCAGAACTTATAAGTACGTAGACTACATGAGATGCCACTGTGCAGTCATTACTGCACATTTATTTAGTACTTGTATTAGCAAGTAATAAATATATTTTCAGTAACCAGAGTTACTATGCAGTTGTGCCGGTGAAGGTCTTTTACATGGCACTACTGAGCACTAGCCTGCTAATACTGTGCAGTAGTGTATTAGCACTGTCTGTACTGTGATGTGCTACTATGCAGGATTTTTTGGCTACTGCACAGTCAGTATCTCATGTAGACCCGTCCAGAGTATCAGAAATCACTGTAGCAACTGGAAAGCGTGCCTGAGGCCAGATCTCTGTTTATTTAACTTACATCAGTAGTCCTGGAATGGAGTAAAGGAAGGCCACAGGCAGAAACACCTTTAAATCATTCTGGAAGGGGAGGAAGAACATGTGTACATCAGGTGCATGGGAAAATGCATCAGACGTTCTGACTTATTCTCAGTGTGGACACACATGCATTTGTAGCTCTTCTATAAGAGCAGTAATTGTTATATTCCAATTGTTGTGTGTGAAAGTTTTGAGAACAGTTCAAATGTAGGAAAACTGCTCCAACTTTAACACTGCATCAGGCATTAAGATGGAACAGTTGTGCTAGATCTGAACCATTCTCAGCTCATTCACACATAAGAATTAAAACATAACAGCCTTTGAACCTTTTGAAGGGGCTCCAAGTACACGTGTCCACACCCTTAAATCTGTCTGTTCCCATATTCGTATAAATGAGCTAAATCACTTTGTCATCTAGCCTGTGGGGGAAGCCCCACAGGCTAGATGACAAAGCGCCAGTGGCCTGTGAGCTGGGGGTTAGGCACCCCTATTCTATGACAAGTAGGATTTTGCTTGCTGTAGAATGAGATGATGGTCTGTTCTGGGTGCCATGTCCTTTTAAACTGACTTGCTTTAGACATTTTGTAACATGAAAGCAAAAAAGATCAAGATGATTTGTAAATATAAATAAAATATTTTTAACTGATATGAGTAAGAAAGAGATGATTTGTTATTCATACATTATTGCAATTTTTTAAATGAGTTATTTCATAGAATGAAAGAGATCCTTAAGAAACAAGAGTCACTCCTCCATCCTAATGTCTGTTTATATATGGGTGTCACTGTACTACTTAAGGTGCACACACAACCAGGGCAGAGAGGATGCATCATCAGTAGCATTAAAATGGCTTTCCATCATAAACTGCCACTTCTTATAAAGGGCACTCATTTGGCTTGTTTACAATATTGTTTTGTTTTTTTAAATATGGGTTGCTAGAGAAGATCTGCAGACTGGCATCAGCAAGATGTAAAATACTTTTACAAAAGTTATGGTCAAATGCAATGGGCTTATTAAGCCCAACTGCCCGAACATACACTTCTTTTTAAAAAAGGTCAAACCAGCACACAATGGAAGATTTGAGTTGAGTTATGATAACATTTATTCTTACCCTTTTTTCAATTTTTTAAATGCTATTTTGTCTAGGATACATTTGCAGTTGAAGTAGAGGAAAGTTTTTTTTTTTAGGACTTGCTTACACAAAGGCCTAGTGAAGTCAGTGGGAACTTTTCTGAGGAAAAAAAAGTATGGAAAGGCTCAGCTCACAGAATGAGCAACCACTGGAAAATGAATCAACACTTTACAATAAGCACACATGATTCTGATCAAAGAAGAGATAAAACATTGAATGCATGCATTTTGCAGTGCCTGGCCTGTGACTAGCATTTGTAGGTGCTACCACAATAATTGTAACAACAAATATTTAAAATCTATTGAATTCATGACATTTCAACAGAAGCACTGAGGACCTGTAATAGATACTCACTATATTCATAAGAGTGAGGAGGTAGTTTTGAACATGTTCTTTGCCATGAAACCGGACCACAGAGTCATCCACTCCTAGAAGCACTTCAATGTTGTAGTCATTGTCTCCTGCATGTCTACGGCGTCTCAGTGACTCATTTAGCTGATGCTCTACATTACTGTATATGGAATCCAGGCCTGAAAGGCCCCCAAGAAGAGATTCTATATTAAAAAAGAAAGAAGAAAATAGTGCTTAAACATCTATCCTCACTTTGCACTAGAAGCATCCTCCTGTATATTGTATGCACATTATTCAAGTTAAAACAAACCAAGAGGAAGTTTTAAGTAGCAGAAAGGAATAGGCAAATTAGTGAAAGGTACATGGGTTCTAAAATGTATTATATGAACCTTATCTTCAGTAGTTGACACCTGTGCTTCTTCATCATATCTTAATGGAGAAGAATTGCAGACCAAATAATTAGATTCTGTACAACAGGACCTTTTTTCTAAAACCCAGAAGCATGTACAGAAATCATCCTGTGATATGGTGGTATAAGGGATTTCACTGGCACTGATCTGGAATTGTTTGCACAATTCACTTGTGGCTTCACAGTTATGAAAGCCACGGTCATCTTAAACTGATGCTGACAAAATGATCAATCAGCCCATCATATGTTTCTTCAGTACAACCTAATTAGAAGACATGAGGTAACACCTCTATCCTGCAACTGGAGGGAAGGAGGGAGGGAAGAAACATTTGTCTGCCTTTTCTTCTGTTTTTATATTGTAACAACACCTGCTAGAAATTGCTCCAAAGTAGGGAGTTCTTGGAAGACGTGGGTCAATGGGGAAGAGCTGCATGAGAACCAAAGATGAGTGACAAATATAGACTAGTACATGTTAAGGAATATCACATATGTATTATGTTGTCAATCTAGTTACTAATACAGGGCCAGATTTTTCTAAGTGCCCAGCACCCAGCAATGCTGATTTGTGAAGGCTGCCTCTATGGCACTCTTCCCTTTTGAAAGTCTGACCCACATAAAGTAAAAGAAACTGCAAAGAGCAGAATGACAAAGCTCAAGATCTATAAAAATACTGGCCAACAGATAGTATAAAAACACCAACCACTGTTGTTAATCGTAGAGAATTCTATTTGCCAAAGTTTGATGGTTTAATTTAACTTTCGCTTTTTTAAAGATACTAACTTTGATGAAAGTCAAAAGAACACAAACTTCTATGGATTTCTGAAAGCAACCCCAGGATTGAGACAAATTTTGCAGAGCTCTTGATTCACTTAAGGGGACATCTTTAAAAGTTTATCAAGCTTGCTTGTGCTTCAACTAGTGCCTGAAGCCAAAGGTGCTATTTCTCCCCTTCTTGACAGTAGAAAGAAACAGCCTAATTATTTTTAGAAATTGACAAGAAAAATGTGTGTTGGCCAACAATGTGACTATTAAGCTTTAGCCACCTGGCCCTCACTGAAGTCAAGGCCTATAGATGCTTAAGTAATATGCAACACTAAAGCAACTTCTCTCATCTGTTACAAAGCAAGTCAGGAGCCAAGTCCTCACACAGGACCAGGCAGTTCCTGCTCCCATGGCTATGGCACAAGGTCAAAGGGAGGCTCCTGTCTTTATACCCCTGCTCCCACATTCCTGCATGGCCACCCCTGTGAAGTCTACAGACCTCTAAAGCAACAAGGGCCAGAACCTCAACAGGTATTTAGGTGCACAATTCCCATTGCTCTAAAAGAGACTTACGTACTGCAGTGAAAAAAACTGGGCCACAGGGTGGATCCAGCTCACAGAGCCTTTCTACCAGGCCTGCCAGGCTACTGGCAGGGCATCAGAAGCTGAGGACAGGGCCAGATGCAATTTGGCTTGCCGTTGTCTCTCCCCGTCAAGACCTGAAGCCACTGCTGGACTCCTCCCCCAGGTCTCTGGACCTGCTGCTTTCAAACCGTTCAGTGCTGCCGCTGCCCCCACTTAGCTCCCCTCCTTCACACAGGGCTGGAAGCTTTTAATTCCACTCCCTCCCACACACCAGGCTGACAGTCCTTAACTTTGATCCGCTCCATGAAGGGCTGGGAGCCCTTAACACAGATCTCTACACTTACAGGGCTAAAAGCACACAATCCCCCTACCATAAAGTTCCCTATTATAGGCTCCACGTGAGTTTGACACCCCTACCTTGAAGGACTGGGCCTGGAGTGGCTACTTTTAAACGTATGCAGAAGCAAGGGCAGAGTGAGTTCCATCAGGTATTCTAAAGCCACAGCCAATTAGTCATGTTACAACTGAGTCTGACAGGTTCTATGGCTGTGACATAGACAACACTCTTTCTTGTTCTTTGGAACATAATGGGCACAGCTACACACACAATTAGTATGGCTGAATAAGGTCTGATGTAGTTTGCACCAGAGTTTATTGTTCCTGAGTGCAGCGCTTACACATGCGCCTGGGACTGTAGGACATTGAGCTGGGGTGGAGCAGCCGCGGCTGGCAGGAAGTTCAGGGGGTTGGCTTGGCAGCCCAGAGTTGCTCTGCCCCAGCTCAATGTGCTGTGGAGGAGCTGCCTGGGGCACGAGGGACCTATAGTGCGGGGCTAACTGACAGGCAGCCCTCCATTGTATGTCAGCTAGCCCTGGTCACCATGTACACATGCACAGAGATGCACTAAATAACTCTGCTGTGGTATAGTACTTGTGTTGGGCAGTACTATCCTACAGTGGAGTTAATTAGTTTACTGCGGCCTAAGGGTGTTACACATGGAGACGGTGTCACTTTACTGTAGAGGATGCTGTGACTCTCTGCCCCCCACCCGATAGCAGCATCAGGAGTGGGAAGCCAGCCCAGCTGGGCTGACTCCCCGCCTCCCCACCCCCAGCATGATCTAGCACTGGGGATGGGAAGTCAGCTCAGTTGGGCTGACTTCCCGTACCCAGTGAAACATCAAAACAGCGTTGAAATGGCCTTTCTGTTTTGACTGAACAGAATGGAACAGCTGTTTCTAATCAAAATGAAATTCGAAATGGAACGCTGTTCCATCCAACCATCGAAACTGAAGGCGAAACAGAACGGTGCCGTTTTGCACAGCCCTACTGTCTGTACTATTATGAGGATGGGGAGACAGTACTATTATAAGAACATTATCGTTTGTATTCCCTGTCTGGAGGTTAGAAAAGAGACTATATTCCTCCTCCCCAAAGAAGGCCAAGTTGCAAAACCAACAAGCTGGACTTTCACACACAACAGGCAAGACTCCTGGGGAAGCCAATGGGAGTTTTGCCTGTGTAAGGACCACAGATGTTGGGCTGACATTACTAAATATCTTTAAGAACTATGCTGCAATTCATCTTCAACTGATTCAGCTACTGGCTCATTAGCTGGGAAACTTGTCCCTTCTAGTTATCCCAATGGTTCAGTAACACATAAATAACTCTCCCCATTCCCCACATCAAATAGTAAGGTTTCCCCCAAGTTGTTTTCAGAAGCTGTAAGCCGCCACTGTGGGTGAGAGACCAACCATGCAAACAGCTTTACAATTCAACCGCAAGTCCTTTCACACTCAAGAATGCGAACACTGTGATAGCACACAAGTGGGAAATTCATACATAAGTTCCAGTTCTAAAAATTGCTGCTGCTGGCAAAGCCGCTGAGCGTGATGTCCAATGGAAATATACTAGTAATGTCATCATATCATTATGCCTGCTGCATGAATGGAATAGTCTGAATAATCATCTCAGAGAGAAAGAACTTTTTGCTCTGGGCAGCACCTTTGGTTTGGCTACTGCTTCCCTCCTTAAATAGGTGGTTTTGTGGTTAGGAGGAAGAGAACCCTTTTCTGTATGTGTGCGCGCGTGTATGTATGTGTGTGGGTAGGAGGAATCAAAAGCAGTTATTCCCCCTAATAGGCAGCTACCTTTTGTACAGTGAATATATAGTGTACACTATATTTCCCTCATGTATCCAAAGAGAGTATTCTCAATTATGCCTCAAATGTGAGAAAAAAATATCTCCCACTCCAGGAAGATAAACAGCAATCATCACTGGCCAAGATTTCCAGAAGTGATCAGGGGTATAGCTTGTAGGCGTGTTGGTCTCAGAACATAGGCAGACAAGGTTCTTTGGGTAAATTTAATATCTTTTATTAGACCAATTCAAATAGTTGGAAAAAAAATCTTTTTTGCAAGCTTTTGGGTATAAATACCCTTCATCAAGCTGAGGAAGCATCTGTAGTTGGTGTGTGCTCTTTCTGGATGGAATGACTAGTAAGAAGCCAAAGGCCGGTATGCATGCAAGAAAGCCAGTCAGTGAAGATGTAAACTGAGGAGTCAGTGGGTGAAAGAGGCTGTTGGGGGGAGGGAAGGGGAATGAATGTAGCTGGTAAATACTGGAGAGGTACCTGGGGAGTTAGATGTCACGCAGGTTAAAATGCATCATAAGTCTATATTTTGTCCATGATTTTTTGTATCCAGGAAGTTGATAAACTGAAGTTCATAGGCCCATCTGTGAAAAGTGTTTTTTAAATTCCCTTTGAGGATTAGAAATGAGGGATTGGAGAGAGAGTAGTTTTCTTGTGAGAAATGTGCCTCTACTGGTAATTGGGTATTCTTGTCTGTAATAGATTTAAAGTGTGTGTTCATTCTGCTACACAGTTGTTTTTTGGTCTCTCCTATGAATTTTCCATCAGGGCATTTGGTGCACTGGATGAGATATATTACATTTCTGGAGGTTGAAGTGTAAGATCCAGGAATGCTGATGGTTCTGTTGTAGGGTGTAGTAATTGTAGGGGTGGTGGAGATGTGTTGGCAGGTTTTACATTTCTTGTCATGGCATGGTCTGGATCCATTTGGTGTGTTGCAGGCCGTAGGAAGTTTGCTTCTGGCGATGAGGTTAGTGAGGTTTGGTGCTTGTTTGAAGGCTAGAATGGGTGGTTCTGGGAGGAACTCTTTAAGAATTGCATCTTCTTCTAATATCGGTTGCAACTGTTTGAGGATTTTCTGTATAGGTTTGAGAGAGGGGTGATATACCATAACCAGAGGTGTGCAATTTGTGGGGTTTTCCTTGTGTACTGCAGTAATTGTTGACATGGTATCTGGGTGGTTCTTTTGAACGTCCGATCTATCTGTCTGGAGGAGTGTCCTTGTTGAGTGAAAGCCTTTTTAAGATTTGTGAGGTGGTAATACCAGGTGTTCTCCTCAGTACAAATTTGGATGC